ATTGGTTTAAGATGCACGGGCTTTGTTGTAACTCTATAAAAGCTGTCTCAATTCTGTACTCAGGGTCCTCAGTCCTCTACCCCTGTGTGGCGCATGACTGTGGACCCCAGTGCACTTGGAATATAAAAGACCTCCTTCTCATGAGTGATTTGGGGTGTCGCCTTTTCCTGAGTGGGAGCGTTCACCACCAAGCTGGATGACCTGAGTTTGAGCCCTAGAAGCCACAAGGCAGAGAAAGAGCTGACTCCTGTAAATTTACTCTGACCTCCATACGTGTGCTGTGCACGTGCCACATGCATGCACGAATAAAATAAAAAAATGTAGCTGAGATTAACTTCTTAGCCTTAAACAGAGACAGGCACCCTGAATACAAGACAAGTGCTTGTATTCCTCCATGAGCACTGACCACTGGGACAGGTCGGAAGCTCACAAGAGTCCAGTCTTGGGGCTACGCTGGGCCCAAGATGCCTGAAGGCCACACGTGAGCAGGGCTCAGCTCTTCAGCAGCCCCCTTTCCAGAAGGAGACATGGGCAGTTCCCCAGGACATCAAATGTCCCTTAAGTGGTGACAGGTCTTGTGTTTCATCTCTTCTCTCTCCCCAGACCTTAATCTTCCAAGACCTATAGTTCTCAACCTTCCTGATGCTTCCACCCTCTCATACGTACAGCTCCTCATGTTGTGTGACCCCCAACCATAAAAAAATTTTATTGCTACTGTTGTGAGTTGTAAATATCCGATATGTATGATATCTGATATCTGACCCTTGCAAAAGGGGTCTCCACCCATAGGTTGAGAACCATTGTTGTAGACTCCCTTCATTGCCATGACAGTTTACTGAGTACTAGGTGTCAGGAGCTTTGATAAATTCAAAGTACAGCAAGCCCTCCCTCTCTCAGGAACTAACTTCTCCTGGTGTGGCTCCAATCTTCTCTATGGAGCAGCTTCTATTCCATATACAGTAGACAGTCTCTCAACTCAGACAAGCACTGGGTCTTCCCCCGATTCCCCAGCACCTGAATGGTGCTCAGAGAACAGGATAAAGGAAGGGTGGGTGCTATGAGGGGAAAGATGCTGGACAGACTACTCACATGCAGGAAAAACCAGTCCGGGGAGTGGAATAATGGCTGGTGAGATGGCTGGAATGTGGTAAAAGTGCTGGCCCCTGCCAGCCTGAAGATCTGAGTTCACTCCTCAGATCTTCACTCACACACCACAGCAGATGTGTGTACACACATACCACACACCCTAATAAAAGATACATTTTAAAAGTGGAAAGGATGGGGTGAGGGGGTGCAATGGAAAGAGCTGGAGGCAGGGTAGCATTCCTAACTTCCCAGAGAGAGACTGTAAAACCAGAGTCAGCATTCCACACAGTATGAGGTAACAGTTTGTGTTTGCCTAGCGGGAGTGCCAAGTTCGGAGCTGTGTCTCAGGCATTTCAGGTTGGCCTCACTATGTAACCAAGGTGAGCTCTACGCACTTGTGAAGAGAAAGCCAGGGCTTCTTGCATGTGTATTGGAGGTAAGTGCTTTATCACCTAAGTGCACTCCTAGCCCTAAGTACTAAGTAGCTTTTGTTCTTAGTAAGCTGATCTCACTGCAGGGCTAGAGTACAAACTGTCAGACCCCAGGGAACCACCCTCACTGCAAAACAGACCCTTTCAATAAACACTCATTCCAGCCCTTTCCTATTCGCTAATCATCCCAGCAGGTGTAAACACAGTAAATTGCTTTGTAAGGCAGATTTCTATAGTCCTGGCTGGCTGACACTGGTGTGAAGATATGTGACAGATGGTCTTAAAACTGCTTTGACTGCACACCTTTAATCCCAGCACTCCCTAAACAGAGGCAGGCAGATCCCTGTGAGTTTGAGACTAACCTGATCTGGGACAGCCAGAGTTGTAACACAGAAAAACCCTATCTCAAAACCAAAAACCAACCAAAAACAAAACAAAAAACCAAAAAACCCTGCTTTGATTTCTTTTTCTTTTTTCCCCCTCTGCTATTGAGACTGGAATGGTGGCTGGAGAGATGACTCTGTGGGGAAGAGCACTGTCTGCTCTTGCAGAGCATCTGGGTTCCATTCTCAACACTCATACGGTACCTCACAACGGTCTATAACTGCAGCTCCAGGGGACACAATGCCCTCTTCTGACTTCTGTGGGTACCAGGCATGTATTTGGTTCACATACATTCGTGCAGGCAAAATACTTCCCCACATGAATTTAAAAATAAATCTTTAGCTAGGCAGTGGTGGTGCACACCTTTAATCCCAGCACTCAGAAAGCAGAGGCAGGCGAATTACTGTGAGTTAGAGGTCAGCTTGGTCTATAGAGTGAGTTCCAGCCAGGGCTACACAGAGAAACCCTGATTGAAAGACAAACAAAAACTTAGAGGAAAAGGAAACTGGAATAAAATCCTAAATCCTTACTGAGAGTTGCAAACTCTGTGTAACTGTGTAAGCAGGCTTCAGTTTTCTTCAAACTTGATTCTCTGAGGCTTCTCCCTTTTTGTTGGGAACATTTTTTCCCTGGCTCCTGGGGTCTTCTAGAGGGGCTGTCACTTCTCCACACAGCTTCACACAGCATACCAGTCCTTTCCTTATAGCTTGGTCACAATTTATCTATGTGTGTATTTTTCCACTTCCTTTCTCTGTCCCAAACCACCAAGCTCCTGAAGGTGGAAGCAAGAACTAACTACTTCAGCCCCAGAGCAGCTCATGCCCTCACACAGTATCCAGTAAGTATGTATCAAGTTCGTTTTAAAAAATGGGTCCTGGGGCTGGCAAGATAGTCAGTGGTTAAGAACATTGGTTATTATTCTTGCTGAAGACCTGGGTTTGGTTTCCAGCAACCACATGGTGACTCACAAAAATTTATAACTCCAGTTCCAAGGACTCTGACCTAGTCCTAGGGCACCAGGCATGTACACTGACACATAAGACATGTAGGCAAGATACTCATGCATTTAAAATAAAACACTCCTTAAATTTTTAAATGAAAAAGTAATAAAAATGGGTTCTGAAGTTAGATGCACACCTTTAATGTCAGCACTTATAGGCAGAGACAGATGGATCTCTGAGTTTGAGGGCAGCCTTGTCTACAGAGTGAGACCCTGCACCCCTTTGCCCCCAGAAGGAGGGGCTTCTTCAAAGACTGGAGAGATGGCTCAGTCAGTAAGGTGCCTGTCTTGCAAGCATTAGAACCTGAGTTCAGATTCCCTAGCACTTAGCTTGGCATGATGGCATCTGCAACCCTAGTGCTGTGGGTGTAGGGGATGTCACACAAAGAAGGATGCCAGGACCTCAGCTCATTTGTCATGTCTGGGCTCAATGAAACTTGTCTTAAAACAAGAAACTTGTCTTAAAAACACAGTAATTGCCGGGCAGTGATGCCACACACCTTTAGTTCCAGCACTTGGGAGGCAGAGGCAGGAGGATCTCTGTGAGTTCAGGGTCAGCTTAGTCTACTACATAGTGAGTTCCAGAACAGCCAGGGCTACACAGAGAAACCTTGTCTCAGAAAACAAAACAAAACAAACAAACAAACAAACAAACAATAAAGGTAATCAAATAACCACTCCTGAGGCTTCCTTTGGGGACCTATCCAAGAACTGAATCCCTTCTGGGCTTCTGCCAAAACTTTTCATCTTTCTGAAACACTGATTCTGCAGTCACTCCAAGTATATAGAAGCCTGAGCCTGGAAGAAGGCTCCATGGGTAAAAGTAATTGTTGCCAAGATCCATAACACAGATTTGACCTCATGAATCACATAGCAGAAGGAAAGAACCAACTTTCCCAAGCCATTCCACAAACAAATAAAAAACAAACAGAACAGAGCACAACAGAGGAAGACAGTTGATACTGACCTCAAACCACACATGCACCATGATTGTGTACTTGTGCACATATACACAAAACTACACCCACACATACAACCACACCCACACATTTTAAAAGCCTCCATGCTGGCTGTGGCTGTGGCCCAGCATGCACAAAGCCCTATTCAACTCTGAGTATCACACAAGCTGGTTTTGGTGGTTCATTCATGTCAGTCATCCTAGTACTCAGGGAAGCTGAGGTAGGAGGGTCAGAAGTTCACAATCATCCTGAGCTATATACTGAGCTATATGTTGAGTTTCAGGCTAGCCTGGGAAACATGAGGTCCTCTTCCAAACAAACAAAAAAGCAAAAGAATCTTTGGGGTGTGGTCATTGGGTGGCACACAGCTTTCATTCCAGCACTCAGGAAGCGAAGGCAGGATGATCAGAAGTTCAAGATTATCTTTTACTATATATCTAGTTTGAGGCCAGCCTGGTAATAAAAGCAGGATGTGTGGAGGGGAGGTGTTAGAGATATAGCTTAGGGATTAAGTACACTCGTTACTATTCCAGAGAAGTTGAGACCCCTACACACACATAACACATATTTAAACAACAGCAACAACACGTTAAAAAAAAAAAAAAAGGGTGCCAGCCAAGTGTGGTGGTGCATACCTTTTACCCAGCACTCAGGGGCAGAGGAAGAGAATCTCTGAATTCAACGCCTGGTCTACAAGAGTGAGTTGTAGGACAGTCAGGACTACAGAGAAATCCTGTCTCCAAAAAAAAAAAAAAAAAAAAAAAAAAGGAGAAGGGGGAGAGGGAAGGAGGAGGAAGAGAAGGAAAAGGAGGAGGACGACTGCCTTCCAAGGTTCACCAGGCTCTCTGTATCCATTTCTGAAAGTTCTTAACAATCACCCTAGTTCAGTTCCGCAGTCGCTTTTCTTCAACTGTGTGCCTTGCAAACTTGCAGTCCTCGCCCGGCCAATAATAGATGACTAGATCACTTATTCTTCCAACGTCTCACCCCCATAAGTCCGACGCCCCCTTTCTTCACGAAGCCATCCTTCACTCCTTCTGGCCACAGGCCACCCCGCCTGTCCATCACTCCAAGCTCTGCCGCAACTGTCCCCATCCTCATCCCGCCTCCGCCCGTTCCCTCCCTGCCTGGGCGCCGCACCTGGCCTGAGCCTCGTCCAAGCTCTGGTCGGTGATGGCCATGATCTGCTGCAGGACGTCACTCGTGTCACGACCCAGTGGAGCTGCGGACGCCGGGCGGCGCGGGGCGGGCTGCGGCGGCACGGGACGCAGCGGGGCGGCCATGGGCGATGGGCCGATCTGCGTTGAGGGTACAGCGGAGGGTACAGAAGCGTCTGTGCTTCAATCAACCGCCTAGACCCAGGCGCCACGCCCCTTTCGCACCCATCAGCCAATCGCCGCTGCGCACCGCCTGCGGAAACGCCCTTCAGGCATCTTTCACCAATCGGAGCGGTGCACGGCTCTCTCACTCGTGTCGGCACCCCAAACAGTCTTTTCAACGGATGCTCAGGAACCGATTGAGGGTTGTCTAGGAAACAGCGATTCTCTTCTGCAAGGTCCCCAGGACACGCCCCTCGGGAACCGTTACCAATCAGCGCCATGCACTGAAACTTGGCTTCTCTACTGCCACCCAGAATCCAGTTGAGGATTGCCATGGTAACGACTACCACCTGAATTTGCTCAAATCTGGTGCACTTTATGACTCCTGGCCCGGCAGAGGCCTACCTTGGGTGTTCCGGCGCTTATGCCTTCTCTCAGGTTCCCGAGTCGGTTCAGGTTCCCACTTCTTCAGGGGCCCAGGTTCTTCGCAGCCGCACACATCACTGAGTTAACTTCCTCAGAAGCCTGCATCCTCACGGTTCTCACTTGCCTCGGAACTTTTCAAAAACTTGTGGCTGGGCATGGTGGCACAGACAGATCTTTGTAAGTTTGAGGCCAACCTCTCTACATAGTGAGTTTCAGTACAGCCTGAGCTATGCAGAAAGACCTGTTCTCAAAAGCAAATAACTTGAGACAGAGTCTCATGTAGCCCAAGATGACCTCAAATTTGTTATGTAATGAAAATTGGCATGTTGAATCAGCAGCTGTGTTCATTCACACATGACCTCACAAGATTGGGCCACTAACATGCTCTTGTATAAGGAGAGGACATATGAGGCCACTGTCTTCATAATGATGAGGGTGGGTGACACACTTCGGTGCTGCAGCTGCCCATGCTCTTTTAACATCAAGACATTTCCTGGTTCATAAAACTGGATTTGAGTAAAATGATTTCTTTGGTCAGGCTACCCTCTTACCAGGGGTGGTTCCCCCCAGAAAGTCACATGACAGGGACATTGAGGCTCTGAGAAAGGTGTGAGTCACAAGAAGAGTGCAGGGGGCCATATCCAACCTGGACCGATAACTATACAACTGTTCCCCACATGTCCTACGGCCCTGTGGGGCCCCTTACTGTGTCTCTCAGGCACAGTGCCTTCTGGCTGGTCCCCAGAACTGCGTTGTTTCCCTGAAGTTCTCTATTTCTATTTCCCTTACAACGCTGAGGGGCCAGATAAAATCTGTATACACGTGTAGATGGTAGGAAGGGAACACTTGTCTCCACTAGAGAAAAAGTCAGCTCTATATGTTATTTTAGCTAAATCCAGTTTAGGAATGACCTCAAGTTGTTTGTTCTTTTCTAAGTATTTTCTCGTGCTGTGTGCTCGTGTGTGTGTGTGTGTGTGTGTGTGTGTGTGTGTGTGTGTGTGTGTGTAGGTCAGAGAATAAATTTCAGGACTGGGTTCTTTTCTACCACATGGGCCCAGAGATTGAACTCCTCTCAGGCTTGGCAGAAAGCTCCTTTGTCTGCTGATCTTAGGCCCACCTGCTTGTTCCTTCCCTCCCCAGTATCCCAGGTCTTGCAAATGATAGCATGTGGCTAAAAAATGAATGCCTACTGTTGGACATACCCTAGGTTAGACAGAACTCTCACTGGCCTTTTGTCTCTTATTTGGGATTCATGACATGACAAAAGGTTCTCAAGCAAAAGAAAAAGGAATGCCAATCCTTCTCCAAAGTCACAGAATCTCCCAGAATCTATTTGCTCTGATATAGGATTCAGATGAAGGCTTGGTGAGGGCTGGGAAGCCCATCTTCGTTGTTACTGAAGAGGATACCCAAGTTACAAGTAGGACAATGGGGAGACCTCAGGGGCACCCAGAAGAAATGTAATTGTATAAGGACAAGGGAACCCTCTCATGAAGGAAACATAGGCTTGGCCCCAGCAACAAGAAGTAATAGAACCTTGAAGTAGGGCTGAGAGTGGTGCACTGTACAAAATGTCAGCCAGGGCACAGCACCACACATGCCTGATTTGGCGGGGAGAGGACTGTAAGTCCCAATGGCCTAAAAAGACAAAAAATTGATGCCACCTGACAGAGGAGAGATCTAGAGGGAAAAGTTAAAGTGCTTGCCACTCAAGTGTGAAGACTAGAACTCAGAACTTCAAAAATCCACATAAATTCAGGTGTGGAATGACCTGACTATAATTCTAGCCTTGGAGGGCAGTGACAAATGGTTCCTCAAAGCAGCTGGTCAGTGAGAAGACTGTTTTGATAAGCTCTGGGTTTGACTGAGACCTTGCTTCATTGTGTGCAGCTGCAGAACCTCCAACCTCCACATACCCACAAAGATGCAGGGGCACTACAATCACGAAAAAATATGCATACAGCTAGGCATGCCCTAACTCCAGCTCTCAGAAGGCAGAAGCAGGTAGATCTCTGAGTTCAGGTCAGCCTGGTCTACAGATGAGAGTTCTAGGACAGCTAGGGCTACACAGAGAAATCCTGTCTAAACAAACAAAAAGAATAAAAACAAACAAAAGACACTTATAAGTGGGAAAGAAAAAAAAAGCTGACAAGACAAATCCCTCAAGGTAACCTGGATATGCTAATGAAGGCAGATCTAAATACAGGTGTGGTAGCTGTCCTCTGAAGGCCTTGGGTGGGTGGGTGGGGTCGCTGATTCAGGTTTTGATTGACTGCCTCAATATACAAAGTGACACAGGTTTAGCAGGTCTGGAGCGCTATGGAAGTAGGGACATCGTCCTTCATGGACACCTGGCAGTTATTGGATTGTCACCTTGGGAGGCTGGCTGTAGGTACACACTGCCCACATTGCATAAAAAAACTACCCAGCCCCACAAGCTCAGTCTTGTGTCCTACAGAGGAAATGGCTCCTGGGACAGAGCTCTGTGGCAGGCGGGGAACTGGCCTAGCATGTGCAGGGGCCCAGCAGTGGGAAAATGAGAGCATTTACTCTAGATGCCTAGGAATTTTCAGCCCTTTGGAAACGGATGCTTTAATGTCTTAAAAATTTGGCCTCAGATAAGACAGAGTTTCAAATTCCTTCTGTTGCTCGGCATGTGGATCTGAAGTGAGAACAGCTGACTCCTTCAGTGAGGTGCAACAGGAAGCCACACTGGCAGCCAGGCTTGTTCATCTCAGGCTGGGCATGGGCATCTCTGAGGCCTTTCTGGGACTGAGGAGTAGAAAGTCCAGGTAAACTTGTGACTTAATTCCAGGCTCCATGGGACACTAAAGCCCCTTCCTCAGGGAGTTTTCTGGTCCCTCCTGGCATGTCTGTGTCATTTCCAAGCTATGTAATTACACACTGGCTACTTCTCAATATGGTGTCTCAGGTTTGTCATCCCAGCACTCAGGCAGGAAGACAGCTGAGAGGTGGAAGTTAGTCTGAGCTACACAGTAAGTTCTAGGATGGCCTGAGATACTGTGTCTAAAACAACAACAACAACAATAACAACAGGGGGGACAGGTAGAAGGAAAAGGTTTATACAACCAGAAATCACCCTAGAAGATAGGCAGACAAATGGCAGAAGGAAACAGACGCAAGGCTCCAGAAAGAGATAGAAGCTGGGAATGGTATCATATAGCTTTAATCCCAACACATAGGATTCAGAGGCAGGAGGAATGTAGCAAGTTCAAGTCTGGCCTAGGCTGCATAAACCCTGTCTCAGGAAGAGAGAGAGAGAGAGAGAGAGAGAGAGAGAGAGAGAGAGAGAGAGAGAGAGAGGGGCTGGAGATTTGGGAGGGAGGGACAACAGGACAGAGGACAGAATAGGAATGAGGTCAGGGCCCAAGAGTCCGTGTTGAAGGATTCTTGCCAACTGTGAGACATGATAGATAACTCTAGGACACAGGGACAAATTGTTTGAATTAACACACACACACACACACACACACACACACAACCCCAACCTGGCAACCTCAGAGTGGAAAGGCTTGCCCTGTATTATGGAGTCCTCCATGCTAAAGGAGGTAGGTGAGCCCTCAAAGGCTGCTCAACACTCCTACGAATCAGCTCCAGCACCAGTACCAGGAAGGTGGAGCCAGGAGGATTAAAAATTCAAGGCCTCCTTAGCTACACAGTGAATTCAAGGCCAGCCTACACTACATGAGATTCTGTCTCAAAAAACCCAAAACAAACTAGCCTCAGGAAGACAGTAAGTACACCTACAGCCTAAACTGTCAGAGTGGGTGGTCTAACCTGGGACAGCTCCCACCTCTTCTACTCTGAACACCTACAGCACCATGTAGGAAGAAAGAATCCACAGGACATACCAGAGACATACAGTAAAACTATGAAAATGTCTGTTAATAAAACCTAAAACCTGAGATGACAGAGATCCAGACTGCCAAGTCCCTTTAGATGCTCTCCTAGGTGCATGGAGATATCCCCAAGTCCCTGTGTCCTGAGGTGGGCAGATCCATGGGTCTAGGGAGTATTAAAAGACCATTCATCTGCTGGGCTGGATTCAGTCAGGGGAACTGCAAGTGGCTGTGGGTACAGACAGATGACACTTTTGCTGCCTGTCTCCTGCCTCAGTCCAAGGAAGCTTAAAGAGTGGAGTCCATCAGAGGGTGGCCATTCTCAGGAAGCATGATTCGGGTGCTGGTGCCAGTACGGGCAGAAGATGAGTAATGGGCAGATTTGTGGTTAGACCAGCGGAGGCATATACAGCATAGGAGGCGGCGGAAGGTTCTGCGCATCTCAGCATCTCGGCAGGAGTACACCACTGCGTTGACCAGTGAGTTGGCCTCAGCCAGTAGTAGGAAGTACTTCTCCACAGCCAGGACATTGCAGGATTTACAGTCCAGACCGTCCAGGAGCAGCACCACCTGGCCCGGTGTCCAGCACACCACGAATGCCCCTGCAGGACAGAGGCAGGGAGGGGGATGGTGGGGTGGGGGTAGGGTTGATGGTGGTGAGTCACCAGGAGACTTGCCCAAACTGCTCTGTACTCAGGCAGTGACCAACTGTGTCCCTGTAGGGACAGAACTGCTTGGAGGGGACAGACACCTTCCTCCAATTTGTCTGCAACAGGGGCACCTTTCCTAACCGGGACAAAGTAGCCCAGGGCCCTGGAATCTTCTACAGGAAGGAGATTTGTTCACTAAAGGATGGGACAGGAGTTCATCATGGAACAGGTTGGTTACAGAGTTAGGAATCACTGGGGAGAATGAATCTTGAGCCAGGAATAGATTCCCTCCTATACTAAGAAGGCCCAAAGAGCCAAGCGGTGGTGGCATACACCTTTAATCCCAGCACTCAGGAGGCAGAGGCACTTGAGTTCGAGGCCAGTCTGATCTACAGAGCTAGTTCCAGGACAGGCTCCAAAGCTACACAGGGAAACCCTGTCTGAAAAAAAAAAAAAAAAAAAAAAAAAAAAAAAAAAAAAAAAAAAGACAAAAAAAAGCCCAAAGAGATACTTATTGCTACAACCAAGGACCCAAATTCCCAGAGAAAATTGGTTCCTAGTTGTCCTCAGACCTCCACAGATGAACTGAAGTACATGAGTACACATATCTGTGCATACATATACAAAATAAATGTAAAAAAACCATTTAATTTATTTACATATGTGTGTATGAGTATAAGCCACATGCATGTGAGTACTTGAGTACTGACCTGTAGGCTAGAAAAGAGCATCAGATCCCTTGGAGCTAGAGTTGGTTATGAGCCACCTAATGTGGTATTGAGAATTGAATTGGGTCTTCTGGAAGAACAGGAAGTGCTCTTAATCACTGAGGCATTTTTCTAGCCACAGAAAAGAATAATTAAACTCCAAAGGGAGGTCAGGTGACACACGCCCATCAACCCAGGGAAATAGAAACAGGAGGGTCAGGGCTTCAAGGTCTGCCTTAGCTACATATGGAGTTTAAGATCAGCCTGGACTTCATGAAACCCTGCATTAAAAAAAATAATCAAAAGCTCAGTGTGGTGGTGCACATTTTTAATCCCAGCACTCAGAAGGCTGAGTCTGGAAGTTTGAGGATAGCCTGATCTATAGAGTCAGTTCCAAGATAGCCAGGGCTAACTGTCTCAAAAAAACAAAACAAAAGAAAACAAAAAACACCCATGAGCCAAGTGTAAGGGAGCACACCCTTCATCTCAGCATTTGGGCAGCAGAGGCAGGTGGATCAATATGAAATCAAGGCTACCCTGGTCTACTTAGCGAGCCCCAGGCTAGCTAAGGCTACACAGTGAGACCTTCAAAAGAAAATCAAAGAAATAAGCAAAACAACAACCAGGGCTGGTTCAATTGTTAAGAGCAGGTACCTAAATCCAGTTCCCAACACCTACATCAGGCAGCTCGAAATGGCCTATAATTTCAGCTCCAAGGACTTAGGTTGCCAGCGGCCTCTACATGCACGGGCACACATTTGCACATGCCCAGACAGTCTCACAGCCACACATGCATACATGCACAAATAAAAATAGATCTTAAAAAAAGAAAAGAAAGAAAGAAAGAAAGGCTGGGTATGTTGTGACCCATTCCCAGCACCCAGGAAGCAGAGACAGGCATATGTCTGTGAGTTTGAGGCCAGCCTGATCTACAGAGTGAGTTCCAGGACAGCAAGGGATACTTTGAGACCCTGCCTTAACAAACAAACAAAAACAACCATACAAACAGGGCTGAGGATATCGATTGGTTGGTAGTGATTGCCTACACATCTACAATCCTAAGACTTGGGAGATGAAGGCAAGAGGATCAGAAGTTCAAGGTCATACTCTATTACTACAAAGAGTGTGAAGCCAGCCTGGGCTATATGAGACCTTGCCTCAAACAGAATCAAACAAACATGACCTCTAAACAGTTTCCTTGGGAACATGAAAACTGGAGGCTGGCCTTTTCTTTTCCTCTTTGGAGGCTCTGCCTGGTCCTGCCCTGGGGATTTCATTTTTTATTCTCTTTTCCTTTTCCCCTGCGTTGAGGGTACCACCTCCCTGGAGAAATCCCCTCCCTTCCTTCGATATCAGGTCACTTCCTCAGATCCCCACGGTTCTATGGAAGTTTGGTCCCTGGAGCTGCAGTCAAAGCGCCCACTCACCCAGGATGATGACAACAGTCTTGACTAGGCTGAGTGTCGTCTCTCGGTATCTGGGATGGCAGCTGACATGCTCTGCCATTCGTTCCACCCGTCTACGCACATAGAAAAAAATGCGTATGTAGACGGCTACCATGAGCAGGAAGACGAGCAGGCTGGACAGGGCCCACACAGCCAGGTATGAGCGGCTGAACAGGGGCACCATTCGTGAGCACCTGTCCAAGTCACACAGACAGTGCCAGAAGTGTGCAGGCAGCAGCCCCAGGCCCAGGGCAGCCACCCACACACCCACAATGAGTGTGACCACACGGCCCCTGGGCAGGCGGCTGTGTAGCTGCACGGCCATCACACTACGGTGCCGCTCTACAGCGATGGCCAGCAGTGTGGCCACCGATGCTGTCAGGCTGGTGTCCAGCAGGCCTTGTCGCAGGAACCAGCCTTTGATGGAGAGCCTGGCAGTTCGTGGGCCAGTATGGAACATGAGGAAGAGGTAGGCCATGCCGGCAAAGAGGTCAGCAGCAGCCAAGTTGCCGAGCAGATAGTATATGGGCTGGTGGAAGCGCCGGTTGGAGGCAATGGCTGCAATGACCAGCAGATTGGTGAGCAACACCAGTACACTGACTATCAGCCCCAGAGCCACCACTACCACATCCTTGGGGCGCCAATGAAAGCTGAGCTCCTTGCCACTGTTATTGTAGAAAAAGCCAATGGTTTCATTGTAGTAGCACTGACCCATGATGACCACCTGTGGATATGGGAGAGAGAGGTCAGTGCAAGTGGCCCCTGATGGAAGGAGGCAATGAACAGGCAGTGGTCAGAGACAAGATTGGGTGAGTGCAAGCCACAGATTCAGAGGCCCTCTGAGTAGGGTATCTGGTGAGTTGCCAGAGTGATCTAAAAAGGACTAGCTGTTTATTTACTCATAAAGCAGGGTTTCAACCTAGAACTCCCTGTTAGGCCAGGCTAGCCTCAAAATCGCTTGCTGAATGCTACCATAATAATTTTCAAAGGGATGTCTGATCGGCGGGGATTTTTGTTTTTTTCTGCTTTTTTAAAATCTGAAGAACCCACAGCAAGTGCATTTGGAGCCTTGTGCCACCAATCTACGACCAGGTTGGACACCTGTGGTTTCTGAGGAGTGTGAAAGGGTTGGCTGGGGCAGCACAAAGGCGGCACAGGTAGACTGAAGATCACACTAGTGCCAGGGTCCTTGCACAGTGCAGAGGCCAGGGGGCACGTGCACACCAGAGCAACGTTCCTAGTCACAGCAACCGGAGGGAAGTGCCAAGGCGTAGAAGTGACTTAGCGTGGGCAGAGGAGACAGAGAGATCGCCCCAGAAGTTGAGTTACAGGCAGGATTCCGCGCAAGGGCTCTGAAGTGAGCCATTCCAGGGTGGGACAGAGGACCAAGAGGCCTCTGGGACAAAAGAGGGAGTTTCAGCGACCCTGGGCTAGAGGAAAGTTTGTGGAGAAGAACGGGAGCACCTCACTCTCTCCATAAGTCTGCACCCACCCTGGTCCAGTTGGTACTTGTTTTACCTGGGCCTCCAGTCAAGCGGCAGATGGGGCGGGCTCGCGGGGGGTTGAGGCAGGACTGAGACCCATGGCCCCTGCGATGGGGCAGCAGTTGCACGCAGCTGTGTCCGTCCGGTGTGTTTAGAGCCCCAGGCCGAGGAGGCGGGAGAGGCGGGGCCCTAAAGCCACGCCCCTACCTGCCCCAGCTCTTGGCCCCTGGGGGGGGGGGCTATCCGGTCTCCTGGAACGTACCACCCCCACGTCGGAAGTATGGTCTCCTGAAACTGCTGCTGTCCCACCATCTTCCCTCAGCCCCGTTTCCCCACGTAGGACATTTCACTCCGTCCTCCGCGCACTTTCACATGCTTGCCCTTTTCACACATTTGAGATTGAGTCACCTGACAATTGGAAAGATCCTCAGGGGTGGCCTCTGGGGCGCCCTCCCTTGCCCCCGCCTCCTGTCCAATCCTGTATCGAGCTGCAATCCCCGCCCCACCCCGTCGTGGTCATGCTTGCAGCTAGGCACCCCCTACACACCCGCCCCACTGCTGCTGCACCACAGGTTCCCTACAGACCCTGTGCGCCAGCCACCCTGGCTTCCCGTGGTCTCCCCTCAGCCTGCTGTTGGCTCTGTCCTGAAGCCTCCTCCCCTGGCCTCCCCCGGTCCGCAGCACACAGCCCCATTGTCCCGATTATCTGCATCGGGTTGTATTTGATTATGTAGAACCGGATCAGGGACATAGAGCTCGGGCAGGGCCCGAGTGACTCATCTGGAGCTCCAGACCCTGTGCTAATTGCCTGTTGGTTTTGTAGGGTGGATTTTAGAAGCCTTGGTTCCTCAGGTCAATGCTCTTACTGGTTGATTTCTTCTTTGTCAGCAGAGACAGATGTGCAAGAACATAACAGGATTTTTACATTTTGTTTGTTTTGTTTTCAAAGTTAGAGTCTCTCTGTGTAGCCCTGACTGTCCTGGAACTAAACTATAGACCAAGAGGCTGTGAACTCAGAGATCCACCTGCCTCTGCCTCCAGTGTGCTGGGATTAAAGGCTAAAGGCGTGCGCCACCGTGCCCAGAGGAATTTTTAAAACTAAAATTTTATTTGTGCATGCTTATGTGCAGCAGTCAGACGATTTGCAGAGATTGGTTCTCTTTTCCAAGTGTGTGTGAAAGATCCAGCTCTGACTGGTCTGGCTTTGCAAACACCATTGTGCTCAGCCATCTCACCAGGGACACGGCATGGGGTTGGTTATTCGAAGGTTATAAGAATCCAAAGTTGGCCAGAACTTGGGAGGCAGAGAACTTCTCTGAGTTCTATGACAACCTGGTTTACACAGAGTTCCAGACCAGCCAGAGCTACATGAGAACCCCCCATCTCAAAGCAAACAAAATGAAAGAAAGGAATAAAAGAAGGTGACACAGGGGGTCCATCAAGAAGGCAAATGGCAGTAGGGCCAGGAGTCATTATGATCAAAGTAGTCAGATAACTGTCTCAGAGATCAGAGATTGGGGTAGACTCCAAGGATTTTCCGGGACCTGTACTGACCATTGAGCATTGATCCTGAATCGCCTGTGCACCTGTGTTTCCTTGCTGTTTTAACTTCCTCTGGCAGGGAGATGTTGACACACCAAGTGTTTTAGTACTTCTTCAAGATGAGTGGTCTTCCTCACCCAACTTTATGGTAATCCTGTCTCTCCCATACCCCACTGAATTGGTTTGGTTACCAGGTAGAACAGGTAGGGAGACATACAGGGCCATCAACTTAGTTCTGGGTCCCCCAGGATTGGAGTAGTCAGAGATGCTCCTCAGATTCCTCAGGCTCAGCGTCAGCCCTGGACACAGCCTCACTGTTCAGCTTGGAGAGTAGCCGAGCTGTCTCCTGGGTGATCTCAAAGTGCTTGGGCAGAGGGTTCCGGCGCAGGGGGCTGCCTTCAGGGGAGGCAGAAGCAGGGCCCAGGCTTCGTACCCTCAAACTACCTCGGTGCACTGTTGAGACAGTGACAGGAGTCTCCTCACACAGCTTGGAAGCCACCAGAGCCAAACTGGACAATTGATGAGTGACTGGCCGTACACCTCCCCGGGAATACTTCACTGGCTGGCGGCTGAAGTGGCCCCGGGACTGTGTTCCCAGGAGCAAGTCCTCAAGGTTTCGGCTGGACCCTGTGGGGTGATGAATGTGAAGCATCCCCAAGGTCTCAGGATATACCCCAAAAGTGACCTGTCAGCCAAGCAACACTGGGACAAAGAGAGAGCTCCCCAGCATACTCACCTTCCCTTGCCCCATCTCTGGTGTCTTCCATCTTTTTCTCACTTTGGTCCCTCTCCAGAGTTTCAATCTGCAGGAAAAAAACCCAGAATGTGACTCCCAACAGTAAAATCCCTGTTTTAGCGTCTGTGTGGTTGGCTCAGTGCAAGCACGAGGACCCAAGTTTGAATTACTGGCATCCTTGTAAAAAGCCAGACATGGCTGGGAGTGCTTTTAACTACTGTAGTATGGGGTGGAGACAGGGGTCCTGGGATCTCATTGGCATGCCAGCCTAACTGAAATAGCAAGCTACAAGTTCAGTGAGTGACCATGTCTCAATATACACTGCCTGCACATTGCCACTGCTCATCTGTTCTCACGATGTGCTTATGACAGCTAGCAGAGTCATCTGGCTAACCTTTTCTAGTGCTGGGAACCAAACCCAAATCATCATACATGCTAGATGCACACTTTGCCCCTGAGATTCACCTGCAGCCTGGTCCTTGCTTCCTTCCTGTTTCCTCATCCACTCACTACAATACAGGACTGCCCACAGCACACACACTCCCACCCCAAGACCTTTGAACCTGTTGTCCCCACTGCCTGGTACACCCTTCCCCAGATCCACCAGGGCCTCTTTGCATCTCTTTCCCATGTCATGCTAGTCTGCTCAAATCCACCTCTCCATAAGGCTTGCCCAAATTATATTCCCTGCTACAAAGTCCTCTAGGCCTCACTTTACTCCACCCTCCTTTTTTTCATAGGACCTTGTAATGTTGCAAGTTTATTTTTGCTTTTTTTCCCTCTTGGATCAGATACCAAGAGGAGGTCTTTGACTATCTGTTTCACTGATACATCGGAAACTCCTGGTGCTTAACACTTTAAAAAAAAAAAAAAAAAAGGTGCTGACTGTGCTCCCATGTTTACCTCTACAGACAGCACAAGGGGGCGGGGGGGGGGGATTTAAAAGGCAGGAGAGTGAAATGGCCCAGTGGGTAAAGTAGTACTCACTGAGCAATCTTGGTAACAATCACAAGCCATGAAGCCAGATGCAAGCCTGAGACAGCTCAGGGGGTGCCAGTAACTGTTACCAGACCAGACAATGAGTTTGATTTCCAGATCCTTCTTGGTAGAAGGAACAAACTGGTTCTTTCCAGTTTTCTTCTGACCTCACACCTATGCCTGTGTGCCTCTCCCACTAAATACATAAAATGTTTTTTTTTTTTTAAACGCTGAATTTTGGGTAAACATCCACAGTACCAATTCTTCTGTGGTGAGATGGGAAGCACCTACTGGTGACCAGGCTGGCCTCGAACTCAAGAGATCTGCCTGCTTCTGCTTCCTGAGTGCTGCAATTGAAGGTGTGCACCACCACCCAGCACAAATGCTTTTCTTTTTTCCTTTTCTTTTTGAGACAGGGTCTCTCTGTTATGTAGCTCTGACTGTCCTTAAACTCGATATGTAGATCAGGCTGGCCAAGAACCCCCAGAAATCTACATGTCTCTGCTTCCTGAATGCTGGTTAAAGGTGTGTACGCCAGCATGGCCCACACTAGTAAGTAAATTTTAAAGAGAAAAGAAGGTGTCCAGGAAGGAGATGATCACCCAACTGCAATTCTGGCATTCAAAGCACAAAAAATACAGGAAGATCACAGAGAAAGACCCTATCTAAAAATTAAATAAGACAATACAATAAAAAGGCGTCAGTGGCTGTTCTTCCCAGCAGGCACATGACAGCTCACAACTGTCTATGACTCCAGTTCCAGGGAATCTGACACCCTCATGGGTCAGTAAACTCAAGGTCACCCTGGCTTACAGCACGAATTCAAGGCCAATCTGGTAATTTAGGGATACTCTGCCACAAAATGAAAACTAAAAGGAGGTTGAGTAGGTATCTGCCACCAAACTTGGCCATTTCAGTTCCCAGGACCTACATGCTAGAGGAGAACAGACTCTCCTACGTTCTCTGAATTCCATGTGAAGCCCCCCACAATAAATAAATAAAATGTAATAAAATAAATTTGGGCTGGGGAGATGTTTCAGTGGGTAAAAATACTTGCCAACAAGCCTAAGAACCAGAATTCTATCCCCAGGATCCATGTGGTAGGAGAACAGATTGTCCTCTGGCCTTCATACTCACACTATGACATATATGTGCCTACACACACTCTCTCTCTAAATAAATGCTTTCAAAAACTGCAAAAGAAACAAAAGAGAGCTGAGCGTGTGACTTGTGGTAAGCATACACCTAACACCCACCAAGCTCTGAATTCAATACCCAGTTATGCAAAAGAAAGGGACTCATACAGACAAGGCCCTCCCCACATCTGTGGGAAAAGCAGGCTCCTACCTCAGGAGGTGTGACCTCAGGGCACTTCTCCAGGGCACTATGGTATCTGGAGTCTGAGGCTATGTTCAGGGGCTGTGTGTCTTGGGCAAGAAGTAGGGCTGGGTGCTGGGGACTGGATTCAAGGAGTGCAGGAACCAGGCCAGTGTCTTGGGTCAGGGGCTCAGAGGCCAGAGGGAGCTCATCCATTCCAAAGATCTGCTCATAGTTCACAATGAAGAACTCAACAAGCTGAGCCTGGTGACCAGAGTCCAGCAGGCAGGCCATAGGGCTGGCACTGGGGGTCCTGAGTCCATCTGGTGGCCGTAGCAGTGTTGGCCCAAATACAATTCCCAAGTTGTTGGCAGACATCTTGTTTTCTTCAAACCGAGCAGCCACCCTGAGGATGGTGTGGGGAGATAGGGTCAAGCATAAAGCTGGAGAACAGCAGGACCCATGGGCTAGCCTGGTGAATTGGCCAGACCACAGGAAAGTAGTCTCTGGTCACTGAGACCAGCTAGTTCCCACAGACAGAGTC